GTGCGTGCGTGCGTGCGTGCGTGCGTGCGTGCGTGCGTGCGTGTATATTGCATAGATATTTATATTGACTTATAAAATAACAATGTTTGGCGTAATATTTATACAATATTTTTATTATATAAAACTGAAGAGGTTCCTGTAACTTTTCTTATTTGTTGGAGGATTTGGATCAATGACTGGAGGATTTGGTACTACTAGCCAATCAGGATCAACTGGACTATTTGGAAAACCTATTAGTAATTTTGGGACACCAGCAACTACAACAACAAATAGTTTTGCATTCAATTCTACACCCACTACAAATTTGTTTGGTACTAATACTCAAACAAAGCCATTCGGTAGTAAGTTATTTCGTTTATCATACACACACATATTATACATACACATATACAGGGTGCTTCCGCAACATACACATCAATAAGTCGAGTTGCCTATCTGCCTATTGTCAGGGGCATGTGTTACCGATAATGCAGAATAAGATTAGATTGCAAGTACGGTAGAGAATGACACAACAGAAATTGAAGTTTACTATTTTGGTATAAAATATAATAATATAATATGAAATATTTATTTAATAATACAAATAGTATCTGACTTAATCTAACATAAATGAAATTTAATAAATATTTAAAATTATATAATTATAAATATTTATATAATTACAAAACAAATATTTTTTTTTGTGGCATTTTTATGTAATAAATATTTACTATAACCGACATTTTTTTAACGCAATTCTGCATATGAAATAGTTTTTCTTGCTAGATCATAAGAGGAGTGATCTCTGAAAACGTTACAAATTCTGTTTTTAAATATTTGTTTTCCAACAGAAATTGATATTTTAGTTCGTAAGAAGGTACTCACGCAAATAAATTTTGTTTCTTTTATAGAACATAGATGGACCTGCTGGATTTAAAATTATCTATTTATTTTCATAAAAGAAAATCTTTCACAGAGGTAGTGAAAGAAATTGTAGTCTGAACATTATCCTAAAATATTTTAGCACGAAATGCAGTCACTGTGTTTGATCTTCTCTACTCAATAGATAAGAATCATATTCGTTAACTGCATTCGAATAATTTTAGCATATGCTGTTATATGTTGTTTTTTTTTATTGTTTCTCTTTTTGCACACCTTGCATTCCTTGCGTCGTAGTCTCCCGATCGTTTTCTGTTTGTCAGAAGTTGGCATGAGTCATAGAGTGAAACGTGTTAAAAAATAAAAAATAACATAATGGAACGAAATCATTATTCGTTTAAAGAATTGACAGACATGATTCTTATTTATGGCGAGTGTCGAAAGAATCGAAGGCAAGCGATTGCACTTTACGTTCGAAAATTTCCAGACGACACCCAGATCACGGTTTTTATCATCATCTTCACCAACGATTAGGCAATTTTATAAATCAAGAAAGTCTATCCATGTTTCATAAAGAAACAATTCAAGAGACAATTCAACAGGCTATTGAGGCAAATCCTCATATGAATACAAGAGCAATTGCCACAGATTTGAACATGAATCATGTTACGGTTCACAAAATAATTAAACATTCGCTGCCACCCATTCAAACGGCGTACAACACTTAAACTTATACCTGATGATATGCCACAAAAAAATGTTTAAATTTTTGTGAATGAGTTATTGATCACATAAGTTTGTTTAAATTTTTTATTCTTTTATTATTTTATAATATACCAGACACATTGTTATCATTTATCAACTTGCTATAATATATATAAATTATTCAGTTTCTGCAAGTGGGTATCAATGCTAGAAATAATATATTTTTGAAAAAAATTCTGTTTAGTGATGAAGCAATCTTCGGATGGATGCATAAATCGTCGTCATAATGAATATCACTATACAGAACACAATCCACATTGTATATAAGAAAACAATCAAGACTGGTGGACTGTAACTGTGTGGCTTGGTATCGTAGGAAATCACGTCATTGGTCCCGAATTTATTGAGGGAAATGTGAATGCACGTTATTATTCACAATTTCTTCTCCATCGGCTCAATGAGCTTTTGGAAGATGTATCATTAGCTAGAAATGATTTTTCAACAAGATGGACATCCTGCCCACACTTCTTTTTTGGCAAGAACTGTTTTAAATCGAAAATTTCCTGGGAGATGGATCGGACTTTATGGTCCTCAGAAACGGCCACCACGTTCTCCGGATCTTACGCCTATGGATTTTTTCATGTGGGGCTTTTTAAAAAATAAAATATATGAAACTTTACCAGCAAATCAAGAAGACTTAAAAAATAGAATACGCATGTGCAGAAATCACTCCTGCCATGCTAAATAGAGTGAGAGAAAATTTCATGCGCAGAATCACATTATGTTTAGAAGAAGATGGTGGTTACATTGAACATTTACTATAAGCATATTTTATAAGCATATTAGTCGTTCAATATTTATTAAATTTATTACTACAATATGTTATTATTAATATCTATATTATTAAACATATCTTTCATCTATATTATTGAGCTATACCTGAGTAAATTTCCGATTTCTCTTACCTCATTTACAATCGGACTGCAATCTGAGGTTTCTATGAAAAATAATTCGTATGAAAAATTTTCGCATACGAAAGTACGATGCTGATTAGCATAATGACAACTAAAAGGTATACCAATCAATGAACGCGTAGTGTCATTTTTGTATGCAAACATTTTTCATATAAATTCAAAAATAGGACCCCTGGAGAAAAAGATTTGTAGGAATCCAAGAATCAGATCTCAGATTGCAAGTCCGACTGTAAGTGAAGCAAGAAAAATGGTTTTTACTCAGGTATAGTTCAATAATACAGATAAAAGATATGTTTAATGATACAAATATTAGTAATAACATAATAAAATTAATAAACATTCAACGACTATTCAACAAATGCTACAATTTATAAAACAAAGTAAAACAATAATATTTTTAACTAAAAAATATACTTATAGTAAATGTTCAATTTAACCACTATCTTCTAAACATAACGCAATTTTGCACATGAAATTTTTTCTCATTCTATTCAGCGTGTCAGAAGTGATTTCTGCACGTTTTATATTCGAATTTCATTTTTTTAGAATTTTTTCATTTCTCGGCAAGGTTTTATATATTTCATATTTTAAAAAGTCCCACAAAAAGTTCATAGGCATGAATCCAGAGAATGGACACTTCTGAAGATCATAAAGGTTCAACCTCCATTTCTTAAAAAATTTTTGATTTAAAATGATTCTAGCCGAAAACGAAGTAGACGGGATATCTAGTTTATGGATTATTATAATATTTCCAGCCTATTTGCGAGTGGCACATCTTCAAAAAGTTTATTGAAACAACGAAGAAGAAATTCTGCATAATAAAATGTACATCCACAAATAATAAATTCGAGATCGATAATGTGATAAGTTTCCAGCTACGTATTCATAATCCATTAGCCTTAAATATTTTTTATGCAGCGTTGACTGTGCTCTATATAGGTAAGGTAATATGTCAGGTTATACATTTATTGCTTTTAAAAATTGTTTTGTTTCAGATCAGAGAATTTTTCAAAAATAAAAAAGAAGGATGTCCACGGTATATGGAGGGTTTCTGCCCCAGAAATGAAACCTCTGAAATTCATTTAGCGTATGATGAAATTTAACACCTAATACGAAATTCCATTTTTTTATCTGCAAGAAATTCGGCATCACTGAAATCTATCTATATAAACTGAATAATTTAATATAAAATTAATGACAAAAAGATAATTGACAATAATGTCTGATATATTGCAATAACAAATTAAAAACAAATTTACAATAAACCATTCACAAAAATTTAAACATCATGACAATATCGCCAGGTATAAGTTTTTATGTGTTATGATATTTAAATGAATGCCAATCTATAAAATATTGTAAATATGCAGAATTGTTTTATATTTAGAAGAGAAAATGGTAGTTACACGTTTACGTCAAATACTTATTATATAAGCATTTCAAGACAAAAAACATTTTTTGTTTAAATATGTTTATTAAATTTTATGTTAGATTAGGTCAGATATTATTATTAGATTAGTAAATATATATTTCATATTATATTATTGAATTTTACACCATACTAGAATCTAAAATTCAATTTCTCTAGCTTTATTCCCCACCGGACTTGCGATATAATCTTATTCTGCATTATCGATAACACATGCCCCTGTCGATAGGCGAATAGGCAATCCGATTATTGATGTGTATGTGTGGAAACATCCTGTACATATTTACATATATACATGTTATAAATTCTATCAATCTATGTTATACACGGTGAATTCGTTTACACATGAAATGCATATGATTTTCTATGCTAAGAAACTTTTCTAGCAAAATTGTATGTGTGCAACAGTTTTTAAATGAGAGCAATTGAAGGCTCCTGAGTAGTTGCCGCGGCCGTGTTGAAATCGTGACGTCAGAAGTGAGAAATGACACGTTAATTTATGTTGCATGCCATTTGTAAATAAAGACAATTTGGATAAATTTAAATGTCGAGATTGCTTTAAAACACTTGTAAAAATGGGCGAAAACTGTCCTTTCCTTGATTAGTCAATAAATGGTCGTAAAAGGCACATAAAATAAGCCTACACTCGGGCAAAAACACATGGTTCAATAGCTGTTGAAACGCTTTTACGTACAAAATTTCAAGATAATTGTAATTTCCGTCCATTTTTAGGACTTTCATAATAATTTAGCAGACAAGTCACATTTTCACAATTAAGCAAATAATAACGAAATGTCATGTAACACAAATTTCATCGTCAAAATGTCGTTTTTCCATCCTTATAAGTTCAGCTATTTATTGTGGCGAGGCGCTCACACACACACACACACGCACGCACACGCACACACACAAAAGCACGAGCCAATGTACATGTGCTCATCTTCGGCGCGCTGAAAGCACATGTACATTGGTTCGGGTGTGTTGTTACCGATTTCGCCAGACCGCCATCTGATTCTGTCACCATCAACCCAGTGTTCTTAGCTGAGTACTCGAGAGCCTTAACAGATGCCAAAAAATTTGCGGGTTATTGAGTCGTGATCTGCTGCTAAAAGCAATTCAAATTATTTAAAGTTAATTGAAGGTTACATGTGAATCAGGAATGCTGCGATATGTTTTACTATTTCTTTGTAAATTTTATAACAAGGATGTGTGACTGATATATATATATATATATATATATATATATATAT